CAGAGGTTTGCAGGAACTGTCTCTAAAAGGCTTGCAAGACCCCACTGTTAAATTTTCAGTTTTAGTGTTTACACCCCAGAAATTGGCAGTTGCTACAAATCAGAGCTTAATTTATTGTTCTGTTGATTATCTAGACTTCAGAAAGTGTTTGTGTTGGAGAGTAATTAAAAGTATGGGTGCCTACATTTTTTCCTCTTAGAGTCTGATTGTTAAACATTTACTAGCATGCTTTTGTATTATTCTATAAACATTGCTTGAGTTCAGCAGCAATGCAGTGAAAGCTCAGTAAATGAAGTCATCACCAGATTAGAGGTCTCATCATCATCATCAGTGCTATTTATATGTTGCTGTAAGGTTTACAGTGTACTCTACATTCATTATCTCATTTGAGGATATACACCCTGCAGTATTGCCTATCAAAAACAGGTATCCTGGAAAACAGGTCAAGGAAAGATAATCTAATAATGATTGCACTACCTGAAGAAATGCATTTTGTTTAAACCTATATACTATATTTTAAGAACTCATGAATGAAAATTGTCTAGACCAATTAGAACCAGAGAGCAAACTGAAAATAGAAAGAATCCACCGGTCACCTACTAAAAGAAACCCCAAAAAGAAAATTATCAGAAAGTTGTAGCCAAAATCCAGAGCTTAAAAAACTGTAGGCAACTAGAAAGAAAGAAGTAGCAAGGACCCACAGTCAAGATCACACAAGATTTGGCAGCTACAAATTTCAAGGAAAGAAGAACTTGGAATATAGCATTCTCAAAAGATAAAGATTGAGGATTACAACCAATAATAATTTATCAGGTGAAGCTGAATATAATCTTGCAGAAGAAGTATGAATTCTAATGAAATAGAGGTCTTCCAAGTATTCCTGATGAAAAGAACAGGTCTAAGTAGCTAATTTGACATACAATCACAAGATTACCAAATCCTGGAACCAACAAAATGGAAGACTAGACATTTTCTTTAATCCTCACTACTTCTTAGATCTCTCCAAAATAAGAATTAGGCACAAGGGGTAAAGCAATTATGACTTTCTCCACAGTCTAAAACATCAAAAACCCTAACAAGGTATTAACATGATGAACAAAGAAGGCTAATAGTTAATCTGTAATCTCCAAGACCCTCTCCTCCACCAGCTCTCATGCTCTGGCTACTAGAATCTTTGTCAGCTAACCTCTCTCCTGCCTTCACTCTACCATTCTGAGTTAAGCAATAGAATTCAGCTCTTTCCCCATCTCTCTCTCTCTCTCTCTCACACACACACACACACACACACACACACACACACACACACACACATCCTGTGTTTAGAGGGGGTGAGGTATAGGAAAGTGGAAAGTTTGTTCAGTCTGAGGTGCCAACCAGGTAACATACTGTGCTCAGCCAAAGAGCTAAAGAACAGAGGGAATTGGGACAGGATGCCAACACATGTGGGAGGACTCTACCATATCTGAAGGAAAGGGGACTGGCATCCAGTTGAGGCCAGTTCTTTCCCCTCAAAAGTCATTGGAGCAGAGACTAAAGCTGATAAAAAGTGAATTCCCTGGCATGGGAGACAATCATTAGATTACCCACCATCAAAAGAGAAGGAATAGGAAAGGGAAATAAAAGAAAAAAAAAAGATTGAAATCACTAAGACTCTTAGGAGGAAGAAAATAATTAAAAACCTTGAGCACAATAAACCAACAGAAGAGACAATAATAAAGGGGGAAATTGCCTGCAGGATGTCTAAAAGAGTCCAAATATTTCTGAATAAATATTACAAGACAATGGAAAATGAATCAACACCTGATGAGGCATAGGATTCTGTGGGTTCCCAAGAGAACATGAATCATAGCAAGAGAAATAGGAACTGTGAAAGCAGAACTTATGACCTACACACCAGAAATAATTGACAGAATAGAAAAATTTCAATCTATGCTGAACTCTCTTCTCCCAGCATAACTGAACCAAGAGTCAGACTATATTCTGTGTCACCAACTGCCTCCCCTAATCTCATCAGATTGCCTTTGTACCCATCAGGTGCCTGTACTGCCTCACCTTCCCCAACTGTTGTTTTTTCCCCCAGGTGAAATAAATGCTCATGGGTCTGGCTGGGTGTTAGGACAAGTAGATGTGAGGGTAGATCTTTTTAGCTAAATTCAATGTATGGAGTTTCAAGAGACAGGGAAATAACATTTTCTTGTGTTACCCATTGTCACTACTGCATTTACCACAGTTCACAAAACTTCCCATTTTATATGGGAAGTTTAAGGTTTTTTTCATTGCTTGGTTCCTTTAAAAGTCTTAACACCATCTCTCTTTATCCTCTAACTGTAGAAAGTTGAAAGCTTTTGTACTTAAAGACCAGCAAAATTAAAAGTCCCTTTTAAAAATTGAATATCAAGTGACCCAGCAATACTGCTTCTAGGGCTGTATCCCAAAGAGATCATAAAAATGGGGAAAGGACCCACATGTACAAAAATATTTATAGCAGCTCTTTCTGTGGTGGCAAAGAATTGGAAATTGAGGGGGTGCCCATCAAATGGGGAATGGCTAAACAAGTTGTGGTATATGAATGTAATGGAATATTACTGTGCTATAAGAAATGATGAGCAAGCAGACTTCAGAGAAACCTGGAAAGATTTGCGTGAAGTGAGCAGAACGAGGAGAACGTTGTACACAATAACAGCCACGTTGTGCAATGACTAACTTTGATAGATTTAGCTCTTCTCAGCAATGCAAGGATCTAAGACATCTCCAAAAGTCTCATGATGGAAAAATCTATCCATATCCAGAGAAAGAACTATGGAGTTTGAATGCTGATTGAAGCATACTATTTGCTTTTTTTTTCCTTCTGTTTTGTTTTGTTTCATCTTTCTTGTGGTTGCTTCTATTGGTTCTAATTCTTTTTTACGACATGACTAATGTGAAAACATGTTTAATAGGAATGTATATGTAGAGCCTATATCAGATTGCATGCTGTCTTGGGGAGGGAGGGGGAAAAATTTAAAACTTGAAAGCTTATGGAAGTGATTGTTGAAAACTTACAATTAATTAATTTTTAAAAAATTGAATATCTTTTTCACCAAAACATTGATGTTGGTGGGAATTTTTCAAGCAAGGTCATTTTAAATTATATAATGGAGGAAGAGTCAATGAAATCTCTTCCCACTCAATCATGCCAATATTTAATGTTCATAGGATAAAGATAAGCCTTTCATTTTACAGATTAGGAAATTGAGAGTCATTGAAGTCAAGTGATTTGCCCAAGACTAGACAGGTGCTTGTAAGAGGTAGAGTCAGAATTTGAACCCGTCTTCTAACTTCCAACCTTTATCTCCTTGCACTATACCAATCTGCCTCTTCAGGCTGCTGTGACGAATGCTGAGAAAGTTTGCCTTCTATTACTAGCCCACAAAATGGAAAAGGCTTACTTACTATTCTAACCCTCTTCAGTTTTAGCGACTTCCACATTTTAATACCTAAGAGCATGACTCTTTCCTATGTCCCTGACAAAAAAGCTCAGTAGACCCCTGGAAAATCACTACTTTGTATTTCATTTCAGGTTCTTTGTCCTGATGTTATTAACATTGCTTCCGTACATCTTCTCCTGGCCTAAATCACTCCCTCCACCTTCTTTGCACTCCCATGGCTTTTGTAGATGGTGATCACATTCTCTACCCTTTAGTTTTCTCTTATTGAGCATGTTTACTCTATATTATTCTATATATTTAGTTCTTCTAATCTTGCTTCATAAAATTATCTTTTTAACTGCTTTGTCTTCTTTGATACAGTCTGTCTCTATCTTCTTGGTTCTTGAACCTGAACATAATATAAGGTATAAAGTCACTGATAGCATAATAAGTATTTAGATGGGTTCACAATCCTGTCATTGTTCCCAGGACTAAATTCGCTCCTGACAAAGCCCTGGAGCCCCTCTCTTCTCCTTCCCCTGCTTCAAGACTTCGGCCTTTTTTTCTGAGATCAGAATCAGTCTTTTTAAAGTAACAGGCATCTACAGCCATCCCTTGATCCACCCCATTGTAAGAAAAGACAGAAAAGGTTCATAAATTTGCTGTAATGAATATACTCTCAAATAACTAAAAGTTAACTACAGGTCCTTTGGACCAAGGTTCTCCAAACTATTACTGAACAATGCCTACTACCTCTGTTAGGTGGATTGCTAAATGGGCTTTGGCTTCTTCAGGAAGATACTCTTGAGTTCAGAAATTTAGTCCTTTGTGAGAGAATTTCAAAGTTGTTTATTATACCAGTGCTGATACAGCCATAGTACATGCTTGGGGAGTCAAATGGAGGGAGCAAGGCAGAGAATCTTGTTTTCCTGTTTTGACATTTCACCTTTAAGTTGCATGATCTGAGACATATATTATACACTACAGCTAAGCTGAGAATCATACACAGATGTCACCCTTGGGCTTCCACACACTCAAACTCCCTGTTACATGAATATAGTTTCTGCTTGTTGTGGTTACTCAGTTGACATTCTGTGATGGTTTTGCTAGATAGTTCTTACTTCTGAGAATCAAGGTCAGTACTAAACCTTTATTTTGAAGTAGGAGACTCATTCAGCAGAGGGAGTTAAAGTGAATGATGGACCATGGCAAAGAGGAAGTAAAAATACTGGTGATGGCTAGGCCTCGGAAATATGTTCATTCCTAACAGAGGAATGCCTCCCATCGCTCTAAAGACACCCTCAGCTAGTTTAACTGAAGATGGGATGGTACCATTGTACTTAGCAAAAAGCAAAAGGTAAAATCCCTCATTTTCTCTGAACTCCATAATCATTTCATAATAACCATCAACACAGTTTTTAATAATAATGATGACTGCTCTCTTTTAAGGACCTAGATTTCCCAAGAGGAAATGGGGAGATCATGATCTCCCAATTCTTCCACCTTGAGCCTTTAAATGTGTTTATGTTGGTTGATTTGAGTCCAGAGCTTACCCTTACTTTATCTGAAAACCCTCTCTCTTTTCCATTGCAGCTTTGCAGTGAATTAGACAAAGGTGAGCGAGACAACGCAGAGCTGCAGGAGTTTGCCAACGCCATCCTCCAACAGATAGCCGATCACTGCCCTGACATTCTGGAACAAGTGGTCAATGCACTAGAGGAGTCCTCCTGACCCCACCGAGTGACCTCCTGGTCCAACCAACAGCCAACCCATGCAGTCCAGGGACCTAAGAAAGGAGCAGTAAGAACAACAGATATCCAGGAACCTCTGGTTTGCCTTGTACATATTAAAGCCAACCAGCCAGACACCACGAGCTACTTCCTATGTCTGTTCTTCCATCTGGAGTCCCACAACGTTTTTGCATTCATCTTTTGCTGTGGAGGTGGTCTCCTCACTGTTTTGGGGGTTCACGGTGGGTGGCTTCCTCTCCACAGAGACCTGTCATCTAGTCGTCATTAATGAGTAACTGTTGGAAGCTAGTGATACTGCTTCAGCACAGGGTCATGAAGTGGTTGCCTTTTCTCTTTTGTCCTTTTAACTTAAAAACAAAACCTGCAGCTGCCACTTTTTAGTTCAGCATGTTGAAAAAGGTGACCTGCAGTAGGCCAGAAAATCTAGGGTGTTCTGCGTTTGAATTGATTTCTCCAGAAAGGGTAGTCTCACAAAAAGAGAGTAGAGAAGGGAAGAGAGAGGCAAAGAAGCAAATTAAGAGAACACCAACTCTTCCATTGAAACTGTAATTCTAGGGAGGAAGGTGCTCGATATTCATTCTTTCTTTTACTTGCCTTTTCTCATTATTGATTTTTGTCTTCTGAGAGGCTTCAGGCAAGGAAGTAGCCACTTCCTATTGTGTCAGTAATAGTTTATTGAACACTAATTTAAAACACTACCGCTTTTGGTTCTTTGCCCCCATCCTATCTATCCTGTCCTTCCTTGGCCATCTCCTCTGAAAAGCTAACGAGAGGTTGCTACAGAAAGTCCAGTCACACAGCACTTTGTCTTTACTGGGCTTAAGGCTGTCGGACAAAACTTTTCTAGTAAATTTAAAAAAAAAAAGAGTTGGGACCCTGAGGACCTCTCACGCTCCAGTCAGGTTTGCCTCTGTAGCAGATAAACTGGATCTGCAGGAGTCTGGCTCGTGCCTTCTGAATCCACAAGCATTTCTCCAGGTCACTCCTCTGGGCTCGCTTATCTTGAAGCCAATAGCGCCGCTGGCACAGCTTCCCTTTTCAGGCTCCTTCAGTGCATTGTTTCTTATGATTCATCGTGAGCATGGGAAGATGAGCTCTGCAGACTTCCCTGGCCTCCTCATGTGTGACTTAGTGCCTTCCTGTCTTTCATATGGGCTGTCTTCACTCCTCTTTATCAAAATGCCACCCAGTCTCTTCCCAGTGACAAATGCCTAATGTGTATGGGTTGTCACAATTGCCATGACAGACCTGGTTGAAAGTGAGAGAATGAAGAGATATACCCTTCTGCCCCCACAATCTTTCAAGAATGGAAGTTGTTCAGTAAATTCTTTTCAAGAGCCTGCTTTTCTAATTATAGCAAAAATGATGCATCTAGGGGCTTGGGTCACTTACTGTTTACAGGAAATCTCACTTGGTTATTCAGTATGTTCATTTTTTTTTAGTTGTCCTAAAAAGGTTATCCTATTTAGGAAGATAGCTTTAAATGCCCATTTAACACATTCAAGCCAGTAATCACCCTGGTTTTTACTGTCTGTAAATTGCAAATCAGAAATTAGACTCCAAAGTTGCAAGAACCCTCAAGTTGTAAAGGCTTTTTAAGGACTTTTCCAGAACACAAACAAGGACAGTGGTGAATGATCAGACAGTGCCACTCAAATATGGACAATTCATGTCAGAACTGTCCCTTTTACCACTTCCTTTGCCAGATATCCACATGTTTTGGTAAAAGCCATTGCCCTAAAACATTTAGGACATGCATTTTCTCCCTCACCCCCAATTACCCAAGGAATTTAGTGCTGTCCATAAAGGCATCATATCCATCAGACTTAACATCTTCCAGCCGCTTCTCCCTGACTGTCCCATTAGCTTACATTGTCAGAAATCTAACAGCCCTCATTCCCTGTTGTAAAACGATACCATCTCTCTGTGAGATACCAGAGTTTTCTTTATCTATGGTCTAAATGAATCCGGCTCATAACCTTCTTACTGATATGTTCCTTGATAGGAAGGCTAGTCTGTTGTGGGGTGGGGTGAGGAAGTGACGCAGTGATTGGGGAGTAATGGCAGTCATTTGTGACCAGTTACCTGGGTTCTATTTGTTTATTGCAGTGCCCGTAAATCATCTAAAACTCCACAGCCTTTCCAGGCTAGGAATGGTGGAGCCTTAATTGAGCCACCAATGTATAGCTGAACTTCTGAAAAACTGTCATGCCTTTGGTGGAGCCAAATGGAGACATCAGATCCAGGGCCATGCTTGAGGATCTGAGCCAATTCTGACTGTTTCTTCTGATCAGACTGACAAGCAGGTCACCTGAGGCTCTTAACTCATCTGGAGTATTAACGAGTGCTCCCCTTCCTTTCCACTTTCACTCTAGCCCTCCCCTTGGATTTCTACCATGAAATCCATCTAATCCTTTTCTGGGGCTTTGGGAGAAGAAAGATCTAAGAACAGACTTGATCTGACTTGGTCTCTCCTGAACCATAGGAGATGAGCTTTTTGATCCTGCTTGGATAGAAATCCTGTCTTATCAGACTGTCCTAGGAATTGCCTTCAAGAGGAAGGCATCTTTGGCCAGGAGTTAAAGCTGATGGTGACTTAACATTCCTTTGCAGAAAGAAAGTTAATGAGGTCACTAACTTTTGTGTATCTTTCTGGGCTTGGCACATTCATTCAATCAACACGTATTGATTGATTTCCTACTGGTATAAGACATGCGTGGGCATCATCATGCAGGCATTATCAAGCAGTGGCTGTTGTGATTTTGCCAAATCACTCAACTGCTGCTCAGTGTTTTTTGCCTTGATTATCTTTTCACATTTAACATAGAGGTTTGACAGTAACCTTCCCAAACTTCTCCATTTCATTATCCATTCTATTTGCCCTTTCTCACTTGAAGATCAGTTACCCCCAAAAAATATAGTTCCTGGAGCAGTGAAAGAGAGCAGTGGGCTGAATCAGCCTAACAATTGTATGGGAGTGTTGATGACTAAAGAAATAGAGAGTGTTTCTCTCTGTGTGTGTCTCTCTGTCTCTCTCTCCTCCCATCCCTACCTCTCCCTCTGGTGTATTAATATACTGATCTATGAAGAATCTGGGCTGAAGTTTGTATACTTATTTAAATGGGTAATTCATTCTAAGTTTGAATGTAATGAAACATGTGTGAACCCATTTCAGCCCTGACAGCAACCTGGAGGAGTTTTGAGTGATTCTATCTGCTTTCCTGAAAAAGGGCATTAACAGCAGAGGTGTAGTGTAGGATGTTAAAAGCAGAGACCTTCCTCATAGTTGATGGTTCTGTTGGCTAACATTTAAAGTAAAGTTATCTAGGTTATCAGAGAAAGAGGACTGTAGGGGGAGGAGAAACCTGGCATTAAACTATGAAGGGAAGGTTAGGCTTCGTCGTCCACCAATGGGAAGCCAAGGGTTTGTCATATCTTTGTCCCAGATAAAAGCCCTGAGTAAATAAGGAAGAAAATAAAGGGCACCAGTGATTCCACTGGGCTAATTCCCCTCTCACTGATGCTCCAGGACTAGTATTTGGTGTTGCTGCTCAAGGGTTCTATATCAAAGAAAAACCCACATAGCTTTTCCAGACTCAGTCTTGTTCTGCCACCTGACCCCGTTTCCCAAACGCTCTTAGCTGCTCCATAGGTTTTACTTTTCTGCTCTAGGAAATTTGGGGGGTTTCCAGAGGATAAAATGCTTCATTTGTCTACTCAGTGGTAAATTACCCCAAGATTGAGGCCTTCAGTCCAGGGTTTATATTTGAGCATCTTCAAGGTTTCAACAAGACCTTGTTTCATTAGGAGTCACTATTTCCTCCAGCCATCAAAGTCCAGAGGCTGGAGGAAGTTGGTGGAAAGAGAGAAAGCTGTGATGATTCAGCAGTACTGTTCCCGTAAAATCAGCAGGGACCTCCATATAGAGCATGTGGAGGCCATCCTCCGGATGAGATCCATCCTGCTCATCAAGGCAGTGGGGAGAAAGCCATCTGACTGAACCATTCAAAAGAAAGCTCTTTAAAAAAAATCTGTGGGGTTTTTCATGTGAATTGAGGGGATATCTAAGCAGGAAACAAAAGTCCCCTTCACTACAGGGAAATCCTTCTGAACAAAATGGTTGCCTCTGCCAACTCTTTTTAAAGCAAAAACTGTTTTCAAACTTTTTAGTGTCAAAACTATAACCAGGAGGCCCCTGACTTTTCTGATGTGTTTGGCAAGTGCTGTGACCCTATCATTGATATTTCTTCTCCTGATTTTTTTGGGGGGATGAAGAGGTTTAGGGTTTGATTTCTTGGGTTCTTTGTCCCCCATCCCTCCTCCTGCTTTGTTGTTTTGTTTCTCTGCTTGTCAATATTGTCTGTGTGGTCCAGAAAACTGGAGCAGTTATAAACCATGTGTGTCCATTGTTGAAATGTTTTGGTTTTTTTTTAATGAGAGAGAAAAAAATAGTAGTAGAACTGAAAAATAAAGAGCTGTGTTTTATAAAAAAAAATAATAATAAAATGCAAACCAATATTGTTTTAATAAAGGAATTCAAGCTAGGGACAGCCAAACTCCTCCCCCTCCTCCCAGGCTTGCTGAGGAAAAATTATGGGCCTGCATCTGGACGTTTTACCTTTTTCTTTACAAGGGTTAGAAGAAAATGAAAGCTGGATGTTTTGAGTAAATGTTTCAGAGTCCACGCCCCCAGTGCCTAGCACCATGTAGCATCAGGGGCTGATCTCTTTGACGCCTTGTCTAAGTTCATTAGCTATGGTGCTAGGGTGAGTGGTTGGCGGCCCCCCTTCTGGCAACAGCCACAGTACAGGCCACACAACCTCTTTCCTCTCCCGTCGGTGCTATTTCATCCAGTTAACCTCTCACTTTTCAGGCTAGCCTGAAGCCTACATGCCAGGTGAGACAAATTACACTCAGTTCTCAACTCCTTCAACTTTCAGGCCCCTAATTCTTGCTCTTAAACTTTTTAAACCTCTTTAAGTTTTCTGGGCCAGAAAATCTCCAGCCAATGAAGATGCTTTTGGAAAAGGAGATGAATTAGACCAAAGCCAGACGACTCACTCCTGGGCCTGAGCAAGGCTTCTGGACCCACCCCACTACACCATACCGCACCAGTATTTCATTCGCCCTAATACACAATCCTTTGTGACCTGCCTGCCCCACTGCAAGAACAGCCCAGTAGACAGCCAAACAAGTCAGCACGTCCAAGGTAGGAACATCAGGTACAGCCTGGGACTCTCTCCTTTGCTTGCTTCAGAAGAGAGGTGTTGCACTTTAGTGGAGGAGGAGAGGAGTATATAGGGTACCATCTCCCTTATAGCTTGAGTTCCTTTTTGGTAACAGAGGCAGCTGGAGATGCTGGTGTTACCAAACCTGCCCACTGCCTTCAACTGTATGTGTGTGTGTGTGTGTGTGTGTGTGTTATTGCTGGAGTTGTGTAACTGACAGGATAATGATAATGCAAAGAAATTGTGTTATATTCAACTTTGCCTTGATAATTATTATAAACACTTTGTTCAGTTTTCTTTTTTTATTCACAAACTTAATTCATCAGGAAACTATAAAGTTATTTAAAAATTCTGCACTGTCTCTTTTTTGTCTTGCCTATTATCAAGAGTTCGGGGCCAAAGGGCATTCAGGCCTGCTTGAAAGAAAGACCTTGTAAGGTCACTCTCAGGTGATAACTTCAAAATGAATGAGTACAGTTGGAAGGTGGGAGAGAAGTTGCACAGTCAGTCAACTGGCATAGCTATTACTGACACAGTGATAAGGGTTAAGACTCAGTTCAAACCTTGAGCTGTCTTCTGGACGATAATCTTCAGTCCAAACGCATGTAGATCTAGAAGAAACAAAATGGAGCATAAGAGCATTGTTCTACGTTGTTGGACCCCTTTGATCCTTCAGAAAACTTAAAAACAATTATAACCAAAATGTAGATAGAATTTATTTCTGCTTGAATGACTCTGTAACAGCCATCCAAATCAGATGTGACTGGGAAACTCCATCAGGTAATGTGAAAAAAGTGAAAAAAAAAATCTCCTTTGTATCACCATCAAAGTACAACATTTTTATGTTGCTACACACTCAGCAGGATGAATTTCTACCTCCCTTACTGTGTGAGTACATTTTCCTGGGCCCTAAACCCCGGATTCATAATTTTAGTGAGACCTGTTGGTTATGCTGTTTCTCTTTAGCCTTTATTATTTTACTTTCAAATAGGTTCTTTCCTATCTGTGGTCTCAGCTAAAAGGTGAGAAGTATTCTGAGGTACTTACTTTGGAATGTTTGTGTGAAATCAGCCAACATGGACTATGAGAACCATGAATAAAAATGCCCTAGGAGGGATGGTTTTGATGATTGCTATGAACTTGGAAATGATTGGAATTTTCAGCTTTGATGATTACTACTGGCTAGTCCTCAATGAAAACTGAGTTTGGAAATTTTCTTTCTTTTTTTTTAAAGACTGCTGCCCTAAATATTGTAGTTTTTTCCAGGAAAGATGAATAGTGTTGGGAAGGAGAGAAGAGGAAAGATACTTCAACCCCTGCTATGTCGGAGTTTTTGCCTCCATATTTCAAAAGCCTTCATACTTTGTTTTCTGCCTTTTCCCCTTTGGAGGTTATATAGTCAAATTAGTGTATTGTTTTTCCTAATGGAGAAATTACTTCTATAATAGTTCCTAATCTCCGCTTCTGCCACACTTTCTCCAGCTAGACCCCCCTAAGCTTTCTGGGGTATATTTGTAACTTTGTCATTGACTTACATAACCTTAGTAAAAGTTATGAGCCTTGGTTTCCACATTAGGTAAAGTGGGGAAAATAATGCTAGCCTAATTTATGAGGTTTTTGAGAAAATAAAATGAGATAGTCTAGGCAAAATTAATTTTCAAAGTATAGACATTAGACTGGGGATCCTGGGAAAGGTGGAGTTTGAGTTTTCTTAGGGACATCTCTACTCTTCACACAGATTCATGGAATTCTAGAGTTGGAAAAGACCCCACCAGCCATATGGTCCAATCCATATACAAAGGAATCCCCATTATAACATATCTGACCAGGTTGTCCAGCCTCTACTTGGATAACTCCAAGGAGGTAGAAACCCACCAGTTGGTCAATAAACATTCATTAAATGGCTGCTATGTGCCAGGCAAAAGACAATCCCTGTGCTGTGCGCAAAATCTGATGGGGACATGCAAATATGTAAAAAACAAGCTGTGGATAAGTTCAATAGGAAATAGGCAAGAGGGAAGACACTAAAATTAAGAGGGGTTGGGAAAGGCATGCTGTGGAAAGTGGGATGAGGCAGCCTGTTCCATTTCTGGACAGCTCATTGTTAGGATGTTTTTACTGACAACAGGTCCAAGTCTATATGACATATCTTCTGTTATTGGACACAGCTGCCATGTCATACCCACCTGTCTCCATCTTCTTTTCTCCAGGGTGAGCATGCCCATTTCCTCTAATCAGTATTTATTTGTCATGAAACTCAATGCCCTTCACCATCTTTATTGTCCTCTGGAAACTCAGTGTCTGTCTTAAAGAATGGTGCCTAGAACAGAACAAAATGATACCCATGAGGTCTGACAAGGGCAAAGGACAGTGGGACTGCAATCTCCCTATTCCTGAAAGCTATGCCTCTCCCAAAATTACGTTTGCATGTTTAGCTGCCAAATCACACTGACCAGACATTGAGCTTGCAGTCCATTTATACCTCTCCATCCTTTTCAGAACTGCTGTCTACCCATGCCTCCCCCACCTTCTATTTGGGAAACTGGGTTTTTTTTTTAGTACACAAGTGCAAGATTTATATTTGTCCCTATTGAATTTTGTCTTCTTAGATTCATTACAAATAATAAATACAAGTTTGAAAAGCTCAAAAATAGAGAAAAAAATGCAAGAATGACAAGAAGGTGGAAAAAACCTACTACCAATCTATTGGGGGAAAATAACGGCAGAGTAATTCACCAATTGATTAGTCTAGGTGTTTCCACTGCCTCTTGCTTTCCCCTGCTCTAACAGCTCCAGGGACTGTCACAGGTGGCCACAGCTGGTGAAATTTTAGGTACATGATATATAACACATAGATACATGTATATATAACAGACGAAGAAAAAGAATAAGTGAAAGTTGTGGGGCAGCTAGGTGGCGCAATGGATAGAGTCCCGGCCCTGGTGTCAGGAGGACCTGAATTCAAATACAGCCTCAGATACGTAGTATTCACTAGCTGTGTGATTCTGGGCAAGTCACTTAACCCCAACTGCCCTCACCCCCCCCCCCAAAAAAAGTGAAAGTTGAAGAGACTCAAATGTGAAGGCTTATAGGAACCACTCAGTTTTCCTGGTCGACTCTCTCAAAATCCCTCTTGACTATTCCCCTAAGACCGCCTTAAGGACTGAAGAAAATTAGTTACTGAGAAGTAGGATGTTGGAATCCATAAGAATAGGGCTGGTAGTAAAAAGTACCATTTAAAGGAACCAATTAGAGTCTCCCTGAAGCAGTGGTGTCCCAACTATTCACCTTCACTTTGTAAGGGAAAGTTTCCTAACCTGAGGTCCATAAACATGTGTGTGTATGTAAAACTCTATTTCAATAAAATTAGTTTCTCTTGAAGTTCCCATGCATTTTATTTTATGCATTTAAAAAGCATTCTCAGAGGAGGTCTATAAGCTTCACCAAACCACCAAAGGGGTCCATAATTTGAATGGGGCGGGGGGGAAGTGTTAACCTATTTAAGAGAAATATTTCATCCAATAATGGGAGTCTGAGAAATCAAAGCCAGGCACCAAAGAATAAGGGGGGAGAGATAACAGTGCTAAGTCTTCCAATGGAAAAAGATTAGTGGTAAGTGCATTATAGCAAGAACAAATATAGGAAAAGCAGCAGGTTATTTGATTAAGACAGACAAAAGATGAATAGGGAAGAAAAGTCATTCAAAAAATTCATCTAAGGAAACTGGGTCAAAAGCCGCTAAAAAAAAGGAAGCTAAAAAGAGCCTGGGTTCTGGATTGAGAGGGCTTGGACTCAACTCTCAAATCTGCACTACTAGTGTGATTTTGACAAGTCACTTAACCGTCTTGGGCCTCAGTTTCTTCATTTCTAAAATGGAACTTTTTAACTTGACAGCCTCAGATCCATCTAGATCTATGATCCAATGAAACAACAATGCTGGAACTCCAAGAATCTTAAAAATCATTCAGAAAAGCGATTGAAGAATTACCTGAAAAAAATCAAACAAGGGGCACGCAGGCGGTGCAGTGGATAGAGCAGCGGCCCTGAAGTCAGGAGGACCTGAGTTCAAATCCGGCCTCAGACCAAACACTTGACACTTACTAGCTGTGTGACCTTGGGCAAGTCACTTAACTCCAATGACCTAAAAGTTAAAAAAAAATCAAACAACAGTGTCTCTGGACTCCACCTTCTCTTTAACTGCCTTCTCACCCTGCAGATGTCTCCATTCTGTGGCCCTCTCTTCTGATTGGTGAGACCCTGCCACAGACCACCATTTCGATAGGTACCCAACCCATGCTGACTTCAGCTCCAGCCCCACTACTAAGTTCTCCAGCTTCCCTTCAATATAATCTTCCCCCATTAGAATGTGGTCTCCTTTAGGGTAGGGACTAGGGGCATACTGGAGCCAACTTGAACCAGCTCTTGAGAGCTGACTGTTAAATGTTCAGTGTGCTCATTTACACCTCAGAAATCAGCAAATGCTACAGATCAGGTTGTGATTGTTGTTTTGTTAATTGTCTAGATTTAAGGTGATGGAGAAAATATTCATTGTTCAGTTGTTTCAGACTCTTCATGACCCCATTTCGGGGTTTTCTTGGCAAACATACTGGAGTGGTTTGCCATTTCCTTCCCCAGCTCATTTTACAGATGAGAAAAACTAAGGCAAACAGGGTTAATCCCATGGTCACACAGCTAGTAAGTGCTGAAGCCAGAATGGAACTCAGGTCTTCCTGATTCCAGACCCAGAACTCTATTTGTTGTGCCACCTACCTGCACTTGAAAATGTCAATAATGCAGATTAAATTTAAGTGTGTCACAAATACATTTTTGGAGAGCCAGTTGTTAAACATTTATCTGCACACCACTCATAGGGACTTTTTTTTGCTTTTATTTGTATCCCCAGTGTTTAGAACATTATAAACATTTAATAAATGCCCTATCTAAAGACAAATTAAGTTCTTAAGAAGGAAATCAAGTGTGATTAGAGACCATTTAATTTAGAACAAAATATGAGCCCCTCTCCATAATAGTATATTCTCTCAAAAATAAAATAAAATAATTGGAATACAAAAATGTATAGATAGATGAAAAATAATGGAAGAAAAAACAAGATTGAAAAACACATAAAGCAAGAATATTGAACTTGAAGACTGAGTGCAAAGAGAATCCAAAGATTATAGGTCTTCAAGAAAATAATGAAAAAGAAAACCTGAATATCATATTGCATGGTAATATACATACATTTTTCATCATGAGTCCTTTGGAATTGTCTTGGATCATTGTATTGCTGAGAATGGCTAAGTCATTCATAATCCTTCATTGTACAATATTGCTGTTACTGTGCACAATGTT